TCCCCCCCTCCACCCCCCCAGCCCTAATACATACAGTACACTCACACTGGTGAGTGGTACGTACAGTATAAGAGCAAATCTCAACTGCCTGATTGCTATATTGTCAAAAAACGTTAACTATATTATTCACCCTTGCGATATATTAAGGTTGGATATATAGTACTTGCCTTACCTGCATACATAAAGTATACTCACATCAAGCAATATATATTATATAGCAATAATATTCTATATTTTTATTTCACCACAAAATGTGAATCATATATCCATATGAAGTTGGATATTAAACTACGTCAAACTTTATCTGCATACATAATACTTGCAGAGGGTGAAACAAGCTAGCTTTACTGCTTCAAAATATAAACTCGCCCAGCTCTAATCTGCTAAATGCTACTACCAGGCATAAAGATATTAAGATATAAACATGAATAAATATTCAATTAAAACAATGGCAAGTAGCCTTTAGGTACTTAAAGTCTTAACACCTTTTAAATGACATGTTATGAGACTAAATGTGATCAACAAATATACTTGTAAATTAAAAGTCAAAAAAGTCTCGTGAGGGTATACCTGAAGGGCCAGCTGTGTCGGTATTTTATCAGCTTCTGAAGAATCTCCTCACATTTCTCTACCTCAATAGCTTGTTTCTTTGATAGAGACTTGGAGCTCTGTCGCACCTGCACACAATCAACAACACTTAAGAAACACTTGTATATGGTGCCTAATAATACTATTCCCTGCACTAATTTTTTCATTTACATGTTTTTCTGCTTCAGCACAATCTGTGCTATTGCTTAATGAACAAACTCTTCTTTATTTGAACAAACTCTTCTTTTTCACAAGTACTTTTTAATGATTCAGCTGAACCCGTTTGCAAAGCATTTGTAAAATAAATTGCCTTCAAGAATGAGCACAACCGAAAATGAAAGGGTCATGAAACCCCCTGTTTCAGCACTGGTTAGTTCTCAGCACTAGAGCCTGACCGATACTGGTTTTTTGGGGGCCGATGCCGATATTAGGGAGTAAAAAAAGACTGGTACCGATACATCGGCCGATATTTTTTATGTGTAGGCTATATTATAGTTCAGTATAGTCAAAAGTTTGGACACTTCCCATTCGAGTGTCCAAACTTTTGACTGGTACTGTACATAGAATACAGCATATAGCCTACATAAACAGAATATATATACTTAAACACATTTTTTGCAATGATAACTCAAATGTGGTGATCAAACACTTATAATGATGTGACAAACATAGGCCTATGTAGTGGAGGCAGGGTATTTAACAATTTAACAAACTTTATTATTCAAAATGAGTCTGATATCAGTGCACTTAAGAGTAAACTTCACTTCACTTAATATAAATAACTTAACACAAATAGAACAAAATATATATAACTTAAATTAAGAAATTAAACAAGGTAACTGTGTAGGGCAAGCAAGCTACTGCCAAACCAACAGGGGCAGGTTTATGCAGGAAGCACAGCTTTTCCAAATGTAAACATCTAAAACGAATAAATAATAATTAAAAAATTTTTTTCACAAACTCAGTGTTGTGTATTTTCTGGTAATCAAATGAACATGCAGAACATTCATATTTAAATCGTCTTTAGTTTATTTACTTAGCATTGAGTCTCTCCAACTAGGCAACAACGTAGCGTTAAATCACCATTCAACAGACTCAAGCCACCACCGCACTGCCGTCTATTGGACTGCAGAAAGATACTAACTTTTCAATCTGCTACGTTACTGACTGTACTGACAAACTATGCTGACACAGTGTCTGCGCTGCAACAGGATGCGACAAAGCGACCG